ACGGAGTTCCCCAGCCTGTAGGTATGCTGCTGGTTCTTCCTCCCCAGGTGTAGTACCCTCCACTTGTCAGTGTTGAAACCCATCCTGTTCTTTTCCGCCCATCCCTGTAGCCTGTCCGGATCCAATTGCAGCCTATTCCTTCCTTCTAGCATGCCCACTTCACCCCACATCTTAATGTCATCTGCAAATTTGAACAGGGTGCATTTTACTCCTTTGTCCAAGTCACTGATGAAGTTGTTGAACAGTGCAGGCTCAAGGACCGAGCCCTGTGGAACCCCACTGCCCACATCCCTCCAGGTCGAATAATACCCATCCACCACCACTCTCTGGGTGCAGCCCATGAGTGCTCGTAAAGCCGTACCAGGGGTCCCACAATGACCTCTGCTAATTCCCTCAGCAATCTGAGGTGGAGATCGTCAGGAGCTGCTGATTTAAATACGTCCAGTCCCTCCAGAAGTTCCCTGACTAGGTCCTCGCTGGCCCTAGGCCTGGGTGTGCCTCCCAGGGGGCCTATGGGGGTCCCATGGGGGGGGAGGGGGGGGGGATGACCAGGCCCCTACTCAGAAAAATGGAGGCAAAGAAATTGTTAAATAAGTTAGCTTTGCTGTCTGGTGCGATGACCAGATTTCCTAGCGTGTCCTGCAGATGCCCCACATTATAAAGTACCTTCTTTTTACTCCCTATGTATTTAAAAAAGGACTTCTTGTTGTCCTTGATCTGGGTAGCTATTCCCAGTTCCATCTCTGCTTTGGCCTTCCTAACTGCCCCCCTACAGTCCCACACAACAGAGGTATAGTCCTCTCTGGTGATGGCCCCTCCCTTCTAATGGGTGTACGCCTCCTTTTTAGCTTGGAGATGTTTCTGGATGCTTTTGGTGAGCCATGGGGGCCTTTGTGCCCTCTTGCCCCCTTTGATCCATGTAGGGATTACTTCCCTTTGGGCTACCACCAGCTGGAAAAAACACTGTCTGGCTGAGCTACTGTTCATGGAACATCCTTGGAGGTAAGGGCAGAAGCTATGGGGATGCCAGGAGGCTCCTGGTCCTGGGGCATGACCAAAAGCTACACCCTGCTGGGGAGGATGGTCTGGTGGGTCTGCCCATGGTGGGGCAGTTCCCGGGAAATACCAGGGCCAATTGCCTCCCCAGTGAAAGACAAGTAAGAGGTGCCTTAAAGCCTCAGCCCCCACATCTTGGTGGGTTACCTGTGGTAGGGACAGGCACAGGGTAGCGATGTGGATTGGTAGGGACAGGTCACATCTGTAGACACCTGAGCCCCATGGAGTGTAAGACCCTGGAGGCTCCAGAGAAGGGGCAGAGACAGTGGCCCCAGTGAGGGGGCAGAAACGTGTGGTGGCCCGCACAGAGTAGGGTGATGGCCTGAAGGACTGTGCATAAGCGGTGTAGAGGAGGGTTGCAGGGGCCACCTGAAGGGCTGCACCTGGGGTGTGTTGAGTAGGGCTGCAAAAGTGGCCCGAAGGGCAGCACATGGGCCAACCCCCATGAGGATGTGAACCTAAGAGTGGCCCAGAGAGCATCTAGTGGCAGAGTTCAGCCCAGTGTAAGGCATAAGGCTGATGATCACACAGAGTGGGGTCTATGTGAGGGCGGCCTGACGGGCTGCATGTGGACTGGCTGGAGTGTGAGTAAGAAAGCCTGAAGGGCTATGTAGAGTAAGGCCCAAGGGGGACCTGAAGGGGCTGTATGGAGTAGGGCAGGTTGAATGGCCCAGTGAGGGGCAGTGTGTCTGAGGCCCTGTGAAGGGCAGAGTGTTAGGGTAGCGTGCCAGGAAGAATGCTAGAGGCACAGCAACGAGCAGAGTTCTGCCCGGTCACAGGCCAGAGCTGTTACCATCTTATGATGACATCTGTGAGGCATGGGGCAGGGTATAGGAAAGGTCAGAGCCATGTCTTGGCATTGCAGCATAAAATGGGCAGCCTCCCATATTTTACACCAGTTACTTATTCATCAAGTTGTGGCAGGCGAGGCAGGGCAAACTGCCCCTAGACAGGTGAGTGGGCCAACGTTGAGACCTGGCCCCAAGATGGCTCCCTGTCACAGCATGTAGCCCCCAGGAGCTTAGAAGCTGGATAGCCTTGGGCTAAATGAATGGCAAGTCTGATTCCATACAGCGATATATGTTTTTAATCTATAACACAGTATCAGCTAAAGGTACTTTGAGGTAGCAATCCATCATTTTTGTTATATCATTATGACTGTAAGTAATCTTAATTTAGAGCAAGACGCCCTCAGCAATCACGACTGACCTCTGCCAACCTTTTGCCACTGACAGCAGAACCTACCCTCAAGTGAGCTTGATGGAAGATTGTGTCTTTTTTTTTTTTAAACCATTTGCTTGAGGTCACCAATTGATAATTAGAGCACAGCTCTATGTTAGTACTATACCTGCATTTTCTTGACCTCTGGGAAATCCCCTTGTGAGATTTGGTACTCTCGTTGCAGTTCTACATAGATCTCGGGTAGTCTGCTGATCAACTCCTTCTTCTTGTTCTCTTTTCCAAAAACAGATGGCATTTCCTTTTTAAGGTGGCTGATGATATAAGCATGGACCTAGAAGAAATTAATGAGTACTGACATTAGCAACAGAGTCTAGACTATTTTTTCATTAAAAAGGAAAAAAAACAAAAAACATTAGCTGTGTACAAACACATCTTTAAAATAAAATGCATCAACCATTATTTATTGAACAATTCCATAAAAACAGATCAGTGGTTCTCAACCTCTTTGGACTCAGGGCACCTCTTGTTAGACTCATGGCATGCCTCAGAAAATACTAGTTCTTTGTTTTCACTCATTTTTGAGTGCAGAAAAATAATAGAGCAACTTGTGTGTGGCAAAGAACTCAAAGGCCCCAACAGCTCAGAATGGTTTTAATATTATGTATTCCTATTTGAAACCTCTTGGTTTTATCTTGTGAATCATGTCTGCACACCTAACAGTGCTAACATTGCATGGAGTCTGTGGCACCCTTGAAAAGATCTCATGGTACCCTGGCTGAGAATCAAAATTACTGAGCTGAGAAGTGCTAGCAAATTTTATGCATCTTATATTTCTGAGTTTGAAGAAACATATGTTAGACAACGAATGTTTGTTTTCTCACTCCTGAGAGCTTAATTAAAACTACATATGCCCTTAAAAATCTTCATAAAAATATGCTTGAGAAATCAGGTGCAATTACAGTGAACTCTGGTTGATTTGTTCCTCTAAGGGGAATGCAAATAATAGCAAATTATCTGGTAGTGCACAATTATCAGGATATAATTAATAATACATATTATTATCACAATAATTGGGAGGTGGAAGAGAGGGCACTACCCAGAAACTGGAACAGTGGTGACTTACTCTACAGAGAAGCCAGGATAGATTTGCACCTTGAAGACTAACTGAATCAGAGTTCACTGTAATAAAAAGGAAGAACACTGCGCTTGGTCTATCAGTGCCAAAAGTGAGAGTGAATGGGGAATGGAGAGAGTTACTGATCCTTAAACATTGCTTGATGTGGGCAGTCTTTGTGTCTCCTGAGCCCCATTTTTAGTTTTTACTAATATAAGCTCTATCTGCCTTGCTACAAACAGCAATTTGGGAAGAGGAGGGAAAACGTCCTTTAAATAATCTAGGCATGGTAAGTGATAGGGTAATCGGAGTGGACTGAGTGAATAAATAGGAATGTGCGTCAACTGCAAAAGAGAGACTAAGTTGTTTCTATATCTATGCAGCCACTAGATGACTAGAGCACTCATCATACTTTAATAACGACATGCGTCAACTGCTCCTGAAATGGCAAAGGACAAAAGCATGGGCATCCCACCATAAAATGAAAGGCATTTCTTTAGCCTTACACTGTACTGATCTATACACAGCTCACTAAGGACAGAAACAGATGCCCTCTTCAGAATGTGATGAGCTGTGCTGTGATATGTCATGGCACAGCTGATTTGCTTCACTGGCATCTATAGATGTCACTGGGACTTTGGGTTGCCTGCCCTCTCAGTGTTTATGAGGCCCAATTCTGTGGGAAAAGGGCCCTAGGCGTTGTGTCCTGACTGGGGATGTGCATTTGCAAGTGGAGGAAATTTTCTGAAAGGGTTCCCCCCCACAACATTTGAAGAATGGGAGCATTGAGGGAATCCCCATAGGGGTCCCCTGCTCTGCACTTGCACAATGTGCCCAGACCAGGAGTGCAGCAGCATGATAGGTGTACCACAGCCCAGCACTTTTCTCCCTTGACTCACCAGAGGAATGCCCTGCAAGGGAATTCCCCCCGTGCCCTGACATAGGGGAGTATGTCTGCAAGTAGAGGGTTTCCCACCCCCTAATCATGGACCTTGTGTCGGGGTGAAGCACCCCAGGCCCTTTCCCCACAGGATTGGGCCCT